TTCTCGCTGCGGAACGTGGGGCGCAGCGTGCGGGGCAGCGTGCGAGGCATCCTGCACTGGCGCAGCTCCTCCAGCGACGCCACGCAGGCGCAGCTGCCCTCCAGCTACAGCTATACCATGGGCGTGCAGGACACCTCGAAGAGGACCTCTGGCACTCAGCCTCCCACACCCACCTCCTCCATGCCCGTTTCTCTGTCCATGCCCCTCTCGCTGCCTCATTCCTCCTCCTCCTCGCTGCCGCCTTCGTCGTCGAGCAGCGCCACCTCCCTGTCGTTGTCAGAAGCTGCTCGGGATCGGCGGCGGAGCAACGGCGAAGGAGGCGAGAAGGAGAAGTGGAGCCATCGTCTGGAGAAGCTCCGATTGTCACGATCCCCTCCTCCCATCCTCACCTCGACCGCCTCCGGCTCGCACTCTGCAACGCTGCCTCCGAGCAGCGCCGCCGCCATGGGTCCTCCGAGGAAGGTGGGCCGGCTGGTACGGGAGGGCGGGGTGAGCGTCAGCTCATCCAGTGACGAGTGGAGCGGCAGCCACGGCTTCTCCGGCTTCTCCTTCGGTCTGCTGCATCACGGTACGGACAACAATCCTTCCTCGGCGCAGTCTCCTGGAGCACAGCCGCCACCGGTGCAGTCTCTCGCCAGCGGGGGGAACGTGCCCTGGAGGGGAGGACGCTGGCACAAATGTCGCCTGGTCCTCCGAGAGCGGGACAGAGAAGGTGGCGAGCGTGGAGAGGAGTACTACCTGGAATTCTTCATCCCACCCAAAGTGAGTTCTGAGTAAACTTTAAACTTGTGTTGGTGCTGAAACGGGTCGAAGAGAAACGACTCGGATTCGAATCATTAAAAAACGATATTGCAGAAAAGTAGCCTAAACATCAGCAGGAAAAGTGGTGTAAATGTCTAAATACTGTTTTTATTTGGTGTCTTCTGAAGCTTTGAGGGTCACAGGAGCCTTTAAAAAGTCCACAAAGGTGACAAAGCTTCACTTCCTGCCATCAACCCTGCAACAGCTAAATGTGTCGAGCCGTCAGTCGATTGGTTCATTAGTCAGGCATATAAAGGTGGTTGTTGGAGCTGTCAGCAGAATAACTTGTAGCTCAGCCTGGT